CACAAAAAGCCATATTACCTAGCTACTTCAAGGACCCAGTAATACATGAGGAAAAAACATTTTGCTGTGTACAGGATCACACATATCATGTACACAGTTTTTTTCAACATGTTGATCTGTAATCTACATTGCATGTCTTAGAACAAACCTTTCGTCTCTGTTCTTCAATGGCCTTCTTGGCTGCCATGTACATATCTACTTGTTGCTTAACATTCTCACCCTCCTCATTGTCGACTTGCTTTGCTTTTTTCCCCTCTTCAATGTGATCAAGAATTCTACAAAGAAAAGCAGGTGAAATTAAATTTTTGCAAACTAGACCAAATTTTTTTTCACCCTCAAGTCATTTCACACTATGATAATAAATACATAGAGGTCTTACCATACATTGAATTATTTAATTAATAGAAATGAAAGAGGTTTGAAAAACATTTGAGTCAAAAACAAAAGATTTGAGCTAAAACATCTAAAGACTGATGTCAAATTTACAAAATTTAGATACATTATTCCTATCTCTTTAAAAAGTGCTTGCCATGTGGGTGGTGGGTGCTTCTTGTGAGTGTACAAATAATAGCTATGAATCAATGTACATAGAGAAGATCAAGACATACAGCCTAATTATTTAGTATACGATAAGCACATTTAAAACTCTATGATATAAATTATATAGCAAGAAGTCGAGAATTTATACTACTGTATTGAATTTGAGAATTTTCATGTTCTATGGTGTAATCTACATCAGTCTATTCTCTATAAACTAGCATGCATACAAAGTAAATGTACTCACTGAAGGTTTTGGAAATCAGCCACTGCTTTTCTTTCATTAAACCTCCTCAAAGCTCTTTTTTGGTCTTCCATGATGGCCTCCTCGCGTTGCTGTAAGTCAATGGAGAAGAGGGAAGTGGAAAGGAACATCTGTGTTAAACCCCATTGGACTTAAATTACATCTAAATACTTGTACAGTCTAATGAAATGGTTAAATTCAAACCAAAAAAAATAAAAACATTAGGAAAACAGGTACACCTAATTCTGATGGTTCTACATTACAAATTTCCCTGATCATGTTCCAAACCTTAGTCGAAAAAAATACAGTCATACATTACTTACCCTTTGTTGAAGTCTTAAAAGGTGATCCTCCCTAATCTTATCAGTATTAAGCTGTCCATTTTTCATTTCAATCTGGGCATCTCTCTCTTTAAGAACTTCTGTTAGAAGGAGTGCTCCCTATTACAAAGGGAAACATAAGAGAAAAACAAAGACTTTAGAGCAGTGTGAACTCAGTGTGACAGAGCCAGATGTTACAGTAACCAGAGATATATTGTACATGTAGGGCAGCAACCCAAGATAATGAAAATTGTGGTAGCATTATTGGCCTACTCAACACCATCAGAGATTACAGGTAAATATAGAACAAGAATTAGCCATGGTACTTTATCAAGAATTCCTGTTACAGCACTGACCTAATTAAGTGAACTCTTGGACAAAATTATATTGAACACTAGCAGAAAGCTATGGGACACTTGCAATATCTTGCCAGTTCAAGTCCCCATGTAATTTAGATTTGAGAGTGTGTGACATATCCAAGGTTAGGACAGCCTTAGAGCTAATAAAAATGTCCTCTGTACACCTATCTGAATGCAAACATACCTGTAAATGTATATATATATAATAATACCTCAAGGTTTAGGTTACTTGAACTTTTACTGCAACTCTGAGTTTCATGCCTCTTGCGAAGCAATCGTCAGGCAACTGCACTGCCAGAAATAACGGTTACAATCCACCAAAATTTAAAAGACAAAACAATGTGTACATGCGCACGCAACATACTGCACGCGCCATGGTAACGTTACGTTCTTCAACAGGAATTTCCTGACATGTCTGCAACCTGATGTCAGCTCATTTCTTTTGTTTATACTTGCCATCTGCGGTTTACAAATGATAAAATATTAAACCGCAGTAAACCGCAGATGGCAAGTTTAAACAAAAGAAATGAGCTGACATCAGGTTGCAAACATGTCAGGAAATTCCTGTTGAAGAACGTAACGTTACCATAGCGCGTGCAGTATGTTGCGCGCGCATGTACACATTGTTTTGTCTTTTAAATTTTGGTGGATTGTAACCGTTATTTCTGGCAGTTGCCTGACGATTGCTTCGCAAGAGGCATGAAACTCAGAGTTGCAGTAAAAGTTCAAGTAACCTAAACCTTGAGGTATTATTATCCATGGCTCTAGCCCTGCTATTGAGCACTTTTTAGTAGATGATGATCTCATTCCGCTATTTTGGTTATATATATATATATATATAAAAGATATGGTTTTTGAGAAAAAGAAAAGTAAAAACCTCCTGAAAAAGGAATTTTATATGTTTGTGTGCGGGCCCAATGAATTAATGTCTCACTTATTATGAAGAGGGTTTAATTGTATGCATGCAGCCTTAGACATTTGACATTTCTTACATGGAATGTCTTTACTCTGTCTGTCTGATAATATTGCAAGGTCTTTGCTCTTTCAATGGCTTCCTTTCTTTTTTGAGCTTGATGTTTTGCTTCTTCTTTATCAACCTTGACTTTTTCCTCCTGTCAATGGAAAAATCTGTTATTAAAGGCTGAGGACCACTTTATTCCTCATCTCAAATCTACATAAAGTTTTATTGGTTAGTTCTGTAGGAAGCAAAATCCCACCAGGTGCATCCTTCTTAGTAACTACATAGCTAAGCTAATTAGGTTTGCTACCAACTGAATCGTACAGAGCATGAACAGCATCATAGAGTATTCTCTTACGTACATTTAGTCTGTTAAGAAAGAACACCTGGGCCCACAAGTTGACTGTATAAAAGCAAAATAATACTATCAAATGGATACATTGCTACTCAGCGGATAAGCGATAGCAAATGGTACTGTGGTATCCACCAGATAGAGATTTATTCAGTGGATATTGTTATCCACCCTTTGAACAACCGTGAGGCTAATGTATAGTTTATACACCAGTACTGTGATTTCATTGTGTTAATTCTCACCTCCTCCTTTTCTTCTCGTAATTGTCGTGCTTGTAGCTTCTTCAGTCTCTGACCCTGTAAAAATTAGCCAAAATATATTGAAAATCCCTGAAATGCAGTCTTCATACCATTGCTTATCAGCAAGTTTTGCCAGATTCTTGTGCATCTACATACACGTTAAATAAGTCGATTTACTAGAATAAGTTGCAATAATTAAAGCTTGTATTCTAGCTGATTTTTCTGATATTCATGACAACATATTCATGAATACTGGAAATCAAAAGGAGCATTGTATGCTCTTTCAAAGTAGAAGAGATAACAATACTCTCCTCAAAAAATTGTTATTTCGTGAAGAACAGAACATCACCTTGCAGAGAAGGTCTTTGTAGTTTACGCACACACACAAAAATGAGATTTCATAGGGAAAACGACAACTATGTGAGAAAGTTGAAACCGAACCTCTATGGTATTTTCCCAGTGTTGTACTGATTCTTTGGAAATGGCGTGAAGGTCCTCTCTTTCTTTCCTCTTCGCTTCCAGTCGCATTTGCTCCTCGTTATATCGCGAAAGACTGTTCTGGATGCGCCTCCACGAGTCAGGCTGAAGAACTGTTACCTATTAGGACAAAGTTGCACAGTTTTTCTCCTATTTACTGTTATAAGCCAACGGTAAAATTCGGGGAAAGTGTCTCAAAATGATGACGAAAACATGCTCACCTCACGCGGGTCAACTCCTTCAGGAATGACACTGATATTCGTTCCGCCAAAGTCTATATGGTTGAAACATAAAAACACATGTAAGGTCACAAATTCAGTATAAGAAAACGAGCTAGCTGCCAGAAATTACCTCTTGTTTGACCTTCTCGCCGGCCATGCATGATTCTCGACGCCATTTCGGTTGAAACTACTCGGTAAAGTTGTAGTCCCAGAGTTTGCCATCCGTTGCCAAGTCAACGATTGTTGTGAATAGGAGACTGGGTCGAGAGCGCTTATCTCG